CTCTACCTTGATCTGAAGGTCCTTCACAACCACCCTCATCTCTGATTGGAAGATCCTTCACCATCACTCTCATCTCTACCTTGGTCTGAAGATCCTTCACCACCACCCTCGTTTCTACCTTGATCTGAAGGTCCTTCACCACCACCCTCGTCTACCTTGGTCTGAAGGTCCTTCACCACCACCCTCGTCTCTGACTGGAAGATCCTTCACCACCACCCTCATCTCTACCTTGGTCTGAAGGTCCTTCACCACCACCCTCGTCTCTACCTTGGTCTGAAGGGCTTCACCACCACTCTCATCTCTCCCCTGATCTGAAGGTCCTTCACCATCATCCTCGTCTCTCCCTTGGTCTGAAGGTCCTTCACCACCATACTCGTCTCTCCCTTGGTCTGAAGGTCCTTCACTACCATCCTCGTCTCTACCTTGATCTGAAGGTCCTTCACCCCACGCTCGACTCTACCTTGATCTGAAGATCACCACCACCCGTCTCTACCTTGATCTGAAGGTCCTTTACCGTCACCTTCGTCTCTATCATGATCTGGAGGTCCTTCAGCCCACCCTCGTCTCTATCTTGATCTGAAGATCATTGCCGCCCTTGTCTCTACCTTGATCTGGAGGTCCTTCACCGCCATCTTCGTCTCTACCTTGGTCTGAAGGTCCTTCACCCCACGCTCGACTCTACCTTGATCTGAAGATCACCACCACCCGTCTCTACCTTGATCTGAAGGTCCTTCACCGTCACCTTCGTCTCTACCATGATCTGGAGGTCCTTCACCCCACCCTCGTCTCTACCTTGATCTGAAGATCATTGCCACCCTTGTCTCTACCTTGATCTGAAGGTCCATCAACACCACCCTTGTCTCTTCCCTGATCTGAAGATCCTTCAACCCCACACTGGCCTCTACCTTGATCTGAAGGTCCTTCACCACCACCCTCATCTCCATCTTGACCTACCACCACCCTCGTCTTCTCCTCCTCCTTCCATCCCCTAGGAGCTCACCTCGGCCGAGGCCTCGAAGAAAGGCAGGTTCAACCACTTGAGGTACGAGAAGGACTTCACGCAGCGGACCACGTCCGTCGGAGGCAAGTCGGACAGGTGGGGCAGGAGATCCGCGCAGATCTTCTGGAACATCTGGGTCTGGTGGAAGTTCAGCTTCCCTTTTCGGGGTGGGGGATGGAGATAAGAGAATCAGTCTTGGGACGTTGGAAGGTGGTGGTCAAACCCGTAACGGACGTGAAGAAAGAACCCCAAGGGTCCAGGCTAGGGGGAGGCAACCCCGGCTCTTTTATGACTGGTGGACTTCAACTCCCAGAATTCCTGAGCCAGCATGGGGGAACTATGGCCCCCTCGTGACTCGTGGACTTCAACACCCAGAATTCCTCAGCCAGCATGGGGGAAACTTTGGCCCCTTCATGACTCGTGGACTTCAACTCCCAGAATTGGAAACTAACCAAAGAGAGAAGCAACCTAGAACGAAGGAGAAACTTCCTGACAGTCAGAACAATTAACCAGTGGAACCACCTGCCTCCAGAAGCGGTGAATGCTCCAACACTGGAAGTTTTTAAGAAGAGACTGGACAGCCATTTGTCCGAAATGGTCTAGGGTTTCCTGCCTGAGCAGGGGGTTGGACTAGATGACCTCCAAGGTCCCTTCCAACTTTATTCTTATTCTTCTTATTCTTATTATGAAGAGACTGGACAGCCATTTGTCCGAAATGGTGTAGGGTTTCCTGCCTGATCAGGGGGTTGGACTAGATGACCTTCAAGGTCCCTTCCAACTTCATTATTATTATTATTATTATTATTATTATTATTATTATTATTATTATTATTATTATTATTATTTATTATGATGATGATGATGATGATGAAGAGACGGGACAGCCATTTGTCCGAAATGGTATAGGGTTTCCTGCCTGAGCAGGGGGTTGGACTAGATGACCTCCAAGGTCCCTTCCAACTTTTTTATTGTTGCTATTATTATTATTATTATTATTATTATTATTATTATTATTATTATTACTATTACTATTACTATTATTATTATTATTATTATATTGGACAGCCATTTGTCCGAAATGGTCTAGGGTTTCCTGCCTGAGCCGGGGGTTGGACTAGATGACCTCCAAGGTCCCTTCCAACTTTTTATTATTATTATTATTATTATTATTATTATTATTATTATTATTATTATTATTATGCCTGATCCAGCATGGCTCAGCTTGGAAACTCCCCTCAGCATGGCTGACTCAGGAATTCTGGGAATTGAAGCCCACAAGTCGTAAAAGGGGCCGAGCTTGCCTACCCCTGGTCCAGGGCTCTCCAGGGCCTCAGCCCCAAGAAAATTCCCATTTCCCTCCTCGCCGTCGTAAAGCCGAGGACCGACCCTCCCCTCCCGAATTTTCCCGGAGGGAAGGGGGGGGTGAGAGAGGGAAGCCGCTCACCGAAGGCGAACGCCAAATCCAGCAGGACATCCGGCGGGACGGCGAAATGCTTTTGGACAAAATGGTAGGAGATGGCCCGGAGCAGCGGCAAGGAACGGTGGTTGCGCTGGGCCAAGGCGACGGCGATCCGGCGGATGTCGGCCGGGGAGAAATGGGCGGCCAGCTCTAGGCCCTGCGGGAAGATCCGTTGTCAAAAGCGAAAGAGGAAGGGGGGAAGGGGAGAGGAAGAGGTGAGGGGGGGAGGTCAAAGATTGGGGGTGGGGGTGGTTAGGGTTAGGGTTAGGATGGATGGATGGATGGATATTGATAGATGTAGATAGACAGATGGATGGATGGATGGATAGATAGGACAGATGGGCAGCGGATAGATAAAGAAGTAGCTTGAGTGGATGGAATGATGGATGGATGGATGGATGGATGGATGGATGGATAGATAGATTAGCAGCTTGAGTAGATGGATGGATAGACGCATAGATAGATATTGATAGATAGATAGATAGATGTAGATAGATGGATGGATAATGGATGGATAGATAGATAGATAGATAGATATTGATAGATGTAATGGATGGATAGATGGATAGATAGCTTGAGTGGATAGAGATAGATAGATGTAGATAGATGGATGGATGGATAGATAGGTATTGATAGATGTAGATAGATGGATGGATGGATGGATGGATATTGATAGATGTAGATAGATGGATAGATGGATGGATAGATAGGACAGATGGGCAGTGGAGAGATAGATAAAAAAGTAGCTTGAGTGGATGGAATGATGGATGGATGGATGGATGGATGGATGGATGGATGGATGGATAGATAGATAGATTAGCACTTGAGTGGATGGAATGATGGATGGATAGATAGATGATAGATGGATGAATGGATAGATAGATGTAGATAGATGGATGGATGGATGGATAATGGATGGATAGATAGATAGATAGATAGATAGATAGATAGATCTTGAGTGGATAGAGATAGATGTAGATGGATGGATGGATAGATATTGATAGATATAGAAGGATGGACAGAGATATTGATAGATGTAGATGGATGGATGGATAGATATTGATAGATATAGATGGATGGACAGAGATATTGATAGATGTAGATGGATGTATGGATGGATAGATAGATAGATATTGATAGATGTAGACAGATGGATGGATGGATGGATATTGATAGATGTAGATAGACAGATGGATGTATGGATGTATAGATAGGACAGATGGACAGCGGAGAGATAGATAAAGAAGTAGCTTGAGTGGATGGAATGATGGATGGATGATGGATGGATAGATTAGCAGCTTGAGTGGATGAATGGATAGACGGATAGATGGATAGATAGATATTGATAGATGTAGATAAATTGATGGATGGATGGATGGATAGATAGATAGGTAGGTAGGTAGATAGCTTGAGTGGATAGAGATAGATAGATAGATGTAGATGGATGGATAGATAGATAGATAGATATTGATAGATGTAGATGGATGGATAATGGATAGATAGATAGATAGATAGACAGATAGATAGATAGATAGATAGATAGATAGCTTGAGTGGATAGAGATAGATGTAGATAGATGGATGGATGGATGGATGGATATTGATAGATGTAGATAGATGTATGTATGTACGTATGGATAGATAGATATTGATAACTAGATGTAGATAGATAGATAGATGGATAGATGTATGGATGGATAGACAGGACAGATGGACAGCGGAGAGATAAAGAAGTAGCTTAGGTGGATGGAATGATGGATGGATGGATGGATGGATAGATGGATAGATAGATAAGCTTGAGTGGATAGAGATAGATAGATGTAGATAGATGGAGAGATGGATGGATAGATTAGCAGCTTGAGTGGATGGATAGATGGACAGATAGATGGGTCACGCAACGTCTGCCAGGAAACCCCCCCCCAGCTGAGAGAGCACCAGGGACCCCACAGTCCTCCTCCTCCTCCTCCTCCTCCTCCTCCTCCTCATCCTCCTCCTCCTCCCTTCTAGCACTGATGATGTTCCCTAGTTGGGTCACGAGACGTCTGCCCTCCTCCTCCTCCTCCCTTCTCGCCCCGATGACGTCGCCCAGCTGGGTCCCGAAACGTCTGTCGGAGAAGAGAGCCCCACGGTCCACCCCCCCCTCCACCCCGTTGTCCGATCCTCTCCCGCCGAGGTCAGCAGGGCGGAAAAATAAAAATAAAAATAAAAATTGGGGTGTTTTTTTTCTCACCTTATCCTCCAGCCGATCCCGGAGTTGGGGCGAGAGGCAGTCCTGCCTGGCCAGCAGCATGGCGATGGTGGGGGCGTCCTCGATCTCGGCCCAGCGCATCTCCAGCTGGGCCCACAGCTCGGCCAGCAGCTCGTGGGGCTCCTGGCCCCCTCCCTCCGGCCGGTGGCCGGCCAGGTAGGTGGCCAGGGAGGCCAGGCGCCGGTAGGAGAGGCCGCGCAGGCGCCAGCGCAGCTCCAGCTCGGCCGAGCGCAGCTCCTTCGTCTGGGGGGGCACCCCGAGGAAGTATAGACTCTTCAGCAGGTTGACCAGGGCCAGGTCGCGGATCCGGGGGGCCTGGGGGGGAGGAGGAGGAGGAGGAGGAGGAGGAGGAGGAGGAGGAGGAGGAGGAGGAGATGGTAAAAATGATTTTTAATTTTTTTTTTTTACTTACGACGGGGCGGCGGTTGAGGGAGCGGAATGGACGACGGCGTCAGAATGAATAAACGAGTGAATGAAGGACTGGCTTTAGGGAATCAAAGGAATCAAATTCCAAGGCAAATTGGAAGGAAGGAAGGAAGGAAGGAAGGAA